ATGATTAGACCCAAATTGCTTTATGGGTGTGTCAATTATGAAAATACCCTTTTATTTACCATTGAGAAACCATTAATTCACCATTAAGAAAATTTAAACTTACCAGAGTATTATTTTAAGCCGTACGTTAAAAACGCAATTGTGTGTCAGAAATGAAGACATACAGAAAGAACTAAAAATCGAAAGTTCTATCTTGATCAAAAACAGAGCATTGAAATTATTTATAATTATATGAAAACTTAATGCAGCTACTATATAGAGGTTCTGTAGAGAATTTGGTTTACTCTATAAGACATTTAGACCCTAGGTGCAAAGCTGTTAGTAAGGCAATCAAATGAGAGTTAGTACCTGACATATATTCGGTAATATCGCTGAATGAAAGGTGAAATATATGAAGAATAATGTAGTTCTTATATTAAATTGAATATTAGTAAATAGTAAATAAAGTAAAATTAAAATTTTAGCTTAGTAAAATTTAAATTTTGCAGCAAATAAGTAATAATTCTTATTTTTGTTTTTATTTTTCTTAATAATACTTTACAATATTACTGCAACAATACGAGACCGTAATGTATGTGCTAATTTAAAAAATGATCGTTAATTCACTTATGTTTTAACTCCTCGATTACTTGAAAACCTCCTCGATTCACAATAACCATTCACAATAGTCATGTAAACAAATAAAACTATTCACCATAGTGCTTACATACTCTTTTAATAGAACATAAAATATTTATTTTTAGCAACATAAATTAGAATATAAGAAAATTTTAATAAACGAAAATAGACACAAGTGGTTAAATAAACGTGTGCAATAATTATTTTTTAATATAATTTTGTGTAAATATTTAAAAAAACAATTAATTTCATTCAATATAGAAATAGCTTTTACTTGAAATAAAATAAACGTTAAAAACAGTTTGCAACATGAGCCTGAATGACGAAACAGCAGCATATCAACAAATTTGCAGTGCACGCACCGTGCAATCTGATAGACAAGGCTTTTTCAATGAATTTTACATGGAAGTAAAAGATTCCTGCGGTGAAAAATGGCTTCAAAACTATTTTGGCAAACTGAAATCGAATGAAGCACGCATTTTATCAATATTCAGTGATCGTGAAATTTGTGATCCAGTACTGGGTGTCTTGGAAAATGTGCAACCAGTTTACAAGCAAAAAGATGGACTCTTCTCAGCGCAACGTCGTGCACAAGCCGATAAACATCATTTGTTGGGTGAACTACAGCAGGCGTTGGCTCATGCGAATCTGGCAGTTGTACGTGCACCAGCTAAGGGTAATGCCACTTAGGGCTCTGAAGTATATTTAAAAATAATATATATTCAAATATTGTGGGTTCTTAATGGTCATTTATATCAGTCATAATAATTTTTACAGAAATTTAGTAGTAAAATATCGAAACTAAGTATTTGAATGATAAAATTTAAAATTAATATGACTTAAAGAAGAAGTGGTCTTGATAGTGTGGTAGCTCATGACGTATCACAATCTTCTTGTGTAACATTTTACTGTCATAGACAAATGGTTTCAGCACATAGACCCAACCGCTTGTAGAACTTCTATATAATGTTGAATATTTCATTACAATTTTAAGAATAATTTACAAACGAAAAATTAATTTTTTAGGCTGTGTGCGAGTTCGAGTAAATTGAGGTAAATTGAAATTTCCTAGAGATTTTTTGCACTACACTTATGTAAACATTTATTTATTTATTTGTTGCACTTATTTATTATTTTTGGTTAAAAGTTTTCAAATATATTTACTTATTTATTAAACATCTTATAAAATTTTCACAATGGTAACATCTAATTTGCCTAATTTTTATCTAATTGACCGTACTCGAAATTGTGGTAAATACCATAATTCGCTGCCATACCGACATAATTTACTATTTCCCTCAATTTATCATTAATTTACCCGAACTCGCACACGGCCTTAATAATAAAAACTGTAATACTTCTTGCCCATGTGTAGGTTGGTTTCGGCAAAAAAACTCAGTCTTTTCTGGCATCTATAATATGTTGAATTTTTTCTATATAAAATTCACTGTTTAAAATAATTTAATATGATCCATATTCTGTGGGAATTTGTTTAATTAAATAAATGTTTAAATCATTCTTTACATTAATCAATTTTCTCTAAAGATAGCAAAATTAATCAAAACATTATTTGTTTATTCCTTGTTTAGGCGTTGATCCTGTTATCGATGATGGGTTAACACTAGCTATGGCGTTCCGCACACGCTCTATCATATTAATCGGTCTGGGAGATGGTGAAACGGCGTTAAGTGATTTGAAATTGGCGGCATCTTTCGGTTTGGAATCAAAGCAAAGTGTTGATTATTACATCAAAATGGCAAAAGCTTATGCATGTACGTATATTTTTATTAATTTCTACAATTAAAAATGTATATATTTTCGCATTCCATTATTAAGGCATGGGTGAAACTGCACGAGCGGAAATTTCGCTTAAAATTGCCGAAAAACTTTCTGGAGGTGGAAATGCATTAATTGACTCTTGTCGGAAAGAGTTGCCGTTGGTGAAAAGGTCAACGAAAAAGCAGCGAGTCCAAGTACCTAACTTAACTCATGGCGAGAATCAGAATTTACGTGGAGCATCCAATTTAGTAAAACTAGTTGAAACTAAAGAGAAGGGGCGCTTTGTTGTGGCAAATGACAGTGTACAAACTGGAGATGTGGTGCTTTGTGAACAACCGGTGGCTGCTTGTTTGTTGCCAAATTTTTATGGTAGTCATTGTCATCACTGCTTTGAACGGTCAGTTATAAAAGATTTTTAATTTATCCTTAAAAGAATATATTATAAAAAAGATATATTATATATACAAACATGTTTTATAAAACAGATTGCTTGATATAATGATAACATTATAACTAACCAAGATATGAGGATGAGATAAAGTTTGATTTCAAAGAATCTATTCACAGTTGAGTTACTTTGTTTAGATCCTTTTGTTTTCCTGTTTGATTTGCTTAGTAATCTCTAATGAGTATATCTCAACATTTTTAAAAAATGTTGAAATGTCAATACATGTATATTGAATATATGTATTTATATTTTTCTACAGGATTAGATCAACGCTTTCGTTTTTCTTGTTTTATTTGGAGTTTTCCAGTTTTAGGAAAAATCTAGTATTTCTAAGAAGTCTTGAATTGTCACTACATATACATTGAATATATATATATATATACAATCCTACAGGATTCCGTAAGTTTATATCAATGCGCTCCTTCTTATTCTTATTGGATTCTTCTAGCTTTAGGAAGAAGTCTAGTATTCATCTTACTTTTATATATAAAACGAATCTATTATACATTCTTCTATTGTTAAAAAGGTTCAACTTTAATTATTATATTTTTATCTAAACACGAAATAAACCAGTTAAAATCATGAGCTAAATTCCGCGAATATAATATTATAGTAAAGAGTGTTCTATAATAGAAATGAGAGCCTCGTAAACAAACGTTTACTGTATATTAATCGAATATATGGTATATTGCAGTACCATTGCCATTGCGCTGATAAATGCATCGATTTTTTTAAGTAAAGAAGGAGAAGATAGAGACCCAAACTTTACTCAAATCAAGCCATAGTAATTTACTAGATGAGAAAAGTCAAATTGTTGTAATTATCGGATATGTGAAAAAATAGACTTTTAAACAGTACTTACAGAAAATAATTAGATAGGGTGTATAAACACGTAGTTTTTTATTCAATAGTTTACAAAAACCATAAAATAATCCACATTAAGAGTTTCTAAATCTTCACAAAGGAAATATCATTCATGTCATTTTATATATTCAACCATCTTTATTCCTTAATTTATTTCCTTGTAATCACTTACATTTTTTTTCTAGATTGGTCACACCAGTCCCTTGTTTAAATTGTTCGGGAATTGCTTTCTGCTCAGCACAATGTATGGGTGAGGCTTGTGAGACCTATCATCGCTTTGAATGTGAATATATGGATTTATTCATTGGTATATTTATACAATAGAATATTTAGAAAAATGAAGTTTATTATATAGTTTTTTATCTACCTAGGTTCTGGCATGTCCATACTCTGCTTTATAGCTTTACGTATTTTTACTCAAGCGCAAAATTTGGAAAGTGGTTTGAATACTGCCAATTTACTTTATGCAAATCTTTGCACTCATGAAGACTCCCGTCAAGCTGATGATCTTTTGCAACGTTCACTAATGGCTGGTTTCTTACTGCGTTGTCTACAGAAATCACAATATTTTGGTCGACGCAAAACGGAAGGTGTGAATCCCACTGCTATTGAACTGCAAGTAGGTGCTGCACTCTTGGGGCTTTTACAAGTATTGCAGTATAACGCACATGAGATATACGAAACACTTATAACAGATGAACATCGATTTGATGGTTCAAAAGTAGTGTATGTGGGTGCCGGTCTCTACGGTACTGGCGCTTACTTCAATCATGAATGTTGGCCAACTGTAGCGCGTTATTTCGTGGGTAAAAAACTAGTGTTGGCTGCTATTAAGCCACATCGTCCAAATGAAATTGTAGCTGAGAATTATGGTCCAACTTTTGCGAATGTTAATTTGAAGGAACGTCAACGTAGCTTGCGTGGACGGTACTTGTTTAGTTGCAATTGCATGGCTTGTCAAGAAAATTGGCCAACTCTACAAAAATTGGATAAGCAAGTCAGGTTTTGGTATGTTTTATTATATTTAAAAGTAGTTTATTTAAATAATTTTAAATTAATTTTGTTATTTTGAAGGTGCACAACAACTAATTGTCAAAATGTATTAAAATTTCCTAAAGATCTCTCCAAAGATGTACGTTGCGCACGTTGTCGTAAAAATGTTTCTCTCAAGGAGAGCGTGGCGCAAATAATTAAAATTGAAGAATTATATCGCGAAGCAGCAGAGGCTATGAAAGATCAAAAAACTCAAGAGGCGATAGCTCTGTTTAAGGAGGGCATCGATATGTTTTATCAGATCGCTGTCATGCCACATAAAGACACACTGATCGCTCAACAGTCTTTAAGAAAATGTATGGCTGATACTGGTACTACTTTTAAAAAGTGATCACCTCCATTTTAGTGAATGTATGTTGTACTAAAATATAAATAAAAGAGTACTTTTTAAATATGTATTGTAAATATGTGTTTAATAAATATATTTATATATAAATTTCACTTTTTCATTTTTTATAAATTTTTTATTTACTGATGAAATAAAATAAATTCAATTTTGTGATGTAAAAATTACATTATTATTTAAGTGTTAAGTAAGTAATTGCCGTTATAATCGTTTCAGTGTTGCCATATTTTTTATAATTATAATCTTAAGTCTGAATTTTAAGAGCCAACAAGTTTACCATTAAAACAAATTTATACTATAAGTTACATAGAGATCCCTTAAATTTGTATTATAAACTGTTCCATGATAAATTAAACTTATATGCTTAACATACATCAGCAAAGTGACACCATAACGCAACAATATTAGTGTAATAAATATCAAAGAAAACATATCGTCTTTACCAGGCGTTATAATCTTCGCTCTGGTGTTTTTCACTCAGCTCCATTTCTCATCGATCTACTTAAAAATCCCACTTTAAAATCGTGGTTACAGCAAACCCTTGCTTAGAGTTTACTCTTAGTCAGTAATTAGTATCTAGTAAAAATATTCTCCTTTCCTCCCCTCACTTGTTTTCCATTTTTGTCTTACATTTATTTTTTGACCTAATGCTAAGCCTTCTATATAATGTACTCTGCTTTTCCTTTAATTACTAGAATGGGATTTCAGCTCTTGGTCTTTACAGTACAATGGCTAAAATTTGTAATTAAAAGGGTACACAAATGTAGCTCGATAAATTGGTGAAGTAATAAAATGACTAACGTCTGACCTATCTATAGAGTATTTAGTCCACTAGGAATTTTTGTCCAAAAATTACAAAATAATCTTAAATTATTGAATAATACATACAAATTATGTTGTAGAATAAACCACGATGATTTTTTAGTATTCACAGTGAGCATTAGTAAAATTCTTAGTTGATGGATTGCTTGCAGTGGCAGATGAGTAGATATCAAACCCACAAGCAGCAGAAATGATATCCATTAACTTCGTTTAAAATTAATAGTTGTTAAAATTATAAACAGTTTTTGGGAAAGTTTTTTATTATTACATACATATAAATTAAAAGTATCAGTCTATATTATAAACAAATAGATAAAGTTCAAGATTTTTAAATTTTAAATGTCTGTACATATACATATGTATAAGTATATATATATTTGAATACGTTAAATATGTTTAAATCACAATATATTTATATAAAATCTGCCGTGCCTTATGTAGGTTTCCATTTGCTTTGTATATCAAATGTAAATTGTACGCAGTTTCGTAAGTCAAGCTCAGATACTCTGCGTGCTCATCTATCAATGGATGTTGTTGGGCTAAAGCTCGCTCATAGTAATATATAGCCAAATGCATAATTCCAGCTTGATGATATATCCGTCCAATATTGTAGCATATCTCCTGTTCTGCAGCACAAGTTAAACTATTATTGCGTCTCAACTCAGCATACCTATGGGCGAATGCAGTGGAATGTGCAATAGCAGAACTTTTTCGTAAAACTTTCTTTTGCAAAGAAATCTGATTAAAAATGACTGCTATGCAAAGTGCTACTAAAGGATCCGAGTTTTCTTTTAACAGTGGTGCATATATATTTAAAGCGTACTTATATGAACTGCAATTTAAATGAAAATGACCCACAAGTATACGCATTGGACGTACCACCGCATGACGTTGTATTAAACGATTTACATAACGTTGATAGCGTCGATCGTGACCTTTTTGTATCATAAGTGATAACATATTCCACAGCGATACCACCAAGGGCTTTTTTGTTATCAATTCACGCAAATACGTGAAAGCCATGTCACAGTCGTCGTTATAGTAGCACGCTAATATTATTATCCGCTGCAATTCTTCATGATAATTGGTGAATCGCTTCGTTGTTACTAGCGAAAAACATATGCGTTGTAAGTAACTGAACTTCTTACGCTCAAAAGCTGTATCTAAAAGATCCATTAGAAGTTTGTATTCATCTTCTACGGTTAGATCTGAATTATCAGTTTGAGATTTGTTGTATTCCTAAAAAAAATTACAAAAATTGTGTGAGTTTATAATTAAAAATTTATATACAGATAAATATAGATCTAGTTATAAAAGCATATTAACTATATATGAAATATATTTGAAATCAAAAAGCGAAGAATACCGTGAGTGAGTTCAGTAGTTAAAAATAATTTAATATATAAACATGTCGTAAGTTATTAACATAGTTGTATGTACAAAAGTTAATTTGTAGGATTAGTCTTAGGTTAGGTCAGGTTATACCGTCGATCCTAAGTGATTCACTTAGGTTTACAGGCCCATCGTGTTACCGTATATTTAATAACACAAGTGTTAGAACCACTTAGAACCCTGACAAAGCTTATAATGCTATTCATAGGGAGGTTTTGCAGTTCGTCAAGATCCTTAAAAAAGAAAGCCCCTAAAGTGTTAAGGCGACGCCAAGCATATGACGAGCAGAAATAAAGCAGATGGGAGGCACTTTAGGATTAGTCTTAAAAATAAAATATTCCTTTAACCTACTTTTATTTTTAACTAAAATAAAAAATGCTTAAAAACATTATTTGATATTTAACACATTAAGTACCGTACATAGCATACAGAAGTATGGATTACTCACCTGTATCATTGCGTCGGAGTCTTCTGTTATATTACGCATTTGTAATACAGTTTTAATACCTTCAGAATTATAGAAGCTCCCACCTTTCGCAACTGCAGTCATTTCTTCACGATTTCTCAATTTAAGAGAATTCCGCGATATTAAAACGTATCCAACATCTAGATACTCATTGATTTCTCCGATTTGTTTAAGCATTATAGCGCGCTCATAAAGTAGTCGTGCATTCAAAGGTTCACTATCATTTTTATCATACTGTTCCAACGCTTTTAGTGCTTCAGATTGTCTACCTTGTTGTTTAAGTAACGCAGACAATGTAAACTTTGCTTCATAACAAAAAGGTGCTAATTCGACTACACGTTCATAGCTTTCGATAGCTTCGTTTGTACGCTCCATATGTCGTAGGCATTCAGCATATCTCAACCATACAAAGGCAGGACAATCAATGTATTCATTATAAACTAAGTGTTTTAATAATTGCAATGCTTCCGTGTATTTAGTTTCCTGCATAAACGCTTCTGTTACATCGATGTACAACTCGAGACGTTCACTTTCAACTGGTATGTAGTTGCAAACATTCTCTATAATATATTCATATATATGTTTCGCAGTCAAATGTATTAAACAGACACATGCTTTAGCACGAAATGCATCTAACAAATTTTCCGGCATATGACAATATAATATTATTTCTGTACCATCCACTTTCTCTATTTCAAGGTCCATACTTGTTTTTTCATTTAAGCAAAGTAACAGTTTTTGGTACTGCTTCCGCAGTAACAGTAACTCTAAATATAAGTTAAGGTCGTCTAAAGAAAAACGTTTTCCGCACACATTATAAGCTTGTTCCATAGCTTTTAAAGCTAACTCAAACTTCTTTAAGCCATGAAAGTAGTGCGCTACATTTTTTGCCGTAACTAAACACAACTCAGCTCGTTCGGGTGGTACATGTGGAATCATTTTTAGATAGGTACGCATAGCTGCAGATGAATCACCCATTGTATCCAATAATTGAGCTTTACGCAGGTGTAAATCATAGTCCTTTGGAAAGGTCTAAAATAAAGAAAATGCATTAAATCACTTACAGAAATTCGTCAGATGAGCTAAATACATACTTTTATTGCTTTTGAATAAAAACTACGAGCTAATGGATAATTTTTTTTATGTATGTGTATATCAATAATACGTATCCAAGTGTCACGTTCATAGGGATTCAAATGAACAGCAATTGTTAAAAAATTAATAAATTTTTCTTCATCCTTAAATTCGTATATTTGTGCTAATGTGTAGAAAGACTCTGAAGCTAAAGGGTTCTGACGTATAATTTCAAAACAAATTTTTTCAGCTAAATCTGTTTGTCCGCGTGCGAAACTTAGATTTGCTTGTCCCATTAACGCGGATAAACTCGGTTCCAACACTGAACGTTTGCGATGTGGACGTGTGCGTTCTTCTAGGCCACCTTTACCAAAAATTTTAGATGATGTGCTTGGTTTTTCTCTAAGATCCTCTTTTTCGCTTTGATTGTCACTGTCATCTTCATCATCTGATTTTTCTGTATTCAAACCTAACATAGTATATATGTCCTGAAGTCCACTTTCACCAGACACGAATTTCTTTATTAAAGTTTCTTCATCTTCTTGACAATTTATATCCAAGAACTCTTCACTTTTAATTATTTGCGTTTCCTGGAACTCCGCCAGTTCATTCTCTGGTATTTGACTTTCATCCAAAACTTCAACATAAATTTTTTCTTCATCACATTCCATTTCGAAGCTAGTTTTAAACAATTTTCAAATTCGCTTAGATTTATTTACGCATATATTGCAATGCCAAACAATTACAGCTGATCGCATTTGACACTTGACAACAGGTTGTTGAGCTGCGAAGTACAGGGTTGGTATTTAAAAACTCATTGAAATAAGTGCTCATCAAACGATATTATGTGTTTGAAATTCATTAATTAAACTTTTAATATGTGGCTATAGCTTTTGTTGGGAGTACCGATTTATAGCTATTACACCATAAAGTTACAATAAAACAACTTCATTAATTCTTATTTTCCACGTGGGACAATCTTTTATTAATGCTTTTTCACTAATGAACAACTGACGACTTCTTTTGCGTCTGTTATCAAGCTAGTTGCTTATTGGAAAATATAGTTTAGCTTTATTTCATCGATAGATGGCAAAGTGAACGCTACAAACATGTCTCAACAGCGCCATCTAAGTGTCATACATCACATTTGTGGTGAAATGAATTCACCACGAGCTAAAAAACAGCTGCATTGGTTAATTTCGTGCATTGAAAATAGCACAACAAAACATTGCCGGCGCTTAAACCATTTAAATCGTTTTAAAACATAAATAATTATATTAAGTTTTAAAATTACTTACTAGTAAAATGAGAAAACGGCTTTTATATGAGGATGTTTACGAACATGAAAAAAAATACTACGAGGAAAAAGCTAATAATGCTAATTTTAAGCCTGCAGCCCAATTACAATACATGAAAAACCGTAAATATATTTTAAAATAATAAAGAGAAAAATATATTACATAAATTTATTACATTTCAGCTACGCAAACTTCATTATTTGCAAAAAATCGCAAAAAACCAGTTTCAGCGAATGATGAAATTAAAAATGAGTTCATGTCCAAGAAAGACTTGATAGGCGATATACAAGAGAAAACTATACCCGAAATAGCCAAAACTAAGGAAATGTTATGCGGAATTCGTGAAAATACTGTAACTGACTATGCGAATAAAAAGACACAAAACAACTTAGAGAACGTGCTGCTAAAAGATATTGTTGAGAGACCGAGTGTGCCCCCAAATCTGCCAAATGTTCATACCAAAACACCAACACCAGTAGCATTACCTTTTCCAACAGTTGTTAGTGCACCCGCAAATGTAAGTAAAGGTGCTGCTACAAATGTTAATAATTTACTTAAAAATTTTAATTTTATTTTAGTCACAAACTGGCAAAAGTCTCTTTGCAATTGCTATGGACCGAAGAGCAGTTAAATTAGAAGCACCGACAGTAAGCACAAGTACTGACATTAAAACCGAAGAGCCAATGGATTGCATTCCGATTGAACATAGCAATAGGCCAGCAGAAAAATCTATAGAAGATATGAAAATAGAAGTGCATTCAGAAAACTTGAAATTAATAACGGATATGGACGATGATAAAATAATGGAAGAAAGGAGACAACTTTTAAAAGATTTGGGTAGTAAAATTATATATTACAAAACAAATATATGGATTTAATGTAATACCACACTATAGATCCTTCGACAATTGAATTTATAAAAAATATGCGCAAGAGAAAAACGTCAGCAATAACTAAAGTTGAAAATAACCCAATTAGTGAATCAAAAGATATACAAGACACTAACCCCACCACAACGACACCTACATTATCGCTACTTCCAGATGAGTGTCCAGCAGTTGAGTTATTAGAACAAAGTACTGCTGAGAATTGGATAAACTTCGATGTGATTGAAAAAGAAAAATTGGAATGGATGCGTGAAATACCTATGAAAGCAGCAAAATTAAAGTCTGGCGAAAAATTTGAAGCCCGTTTTGATTTTGCAGGTGTGCTGCTGCCTTACAGTCTCAATGAGACCGTAAACACTGATAACCAACAGCCATATGAGCGCGAGCTATATTTACACACTGAAGATCCGCATCGTCCTGGTTACGCATTGCAGGAATTATTTCGCTTAGCACGGTAATTCATTTGAATTACTTGGAACTTGGAAAAATATTAATAATTTTTCGTTTCTAATATTTAGCTCATTTTTAGTGCCGCAACGCATTTACGGATATAAAGCCATTGCTGGCATACTTCGACTATATAATCAAGGCTTTTACGATCAAGTGCTGCAGTTGCCTTTGTCGAAAATATTTTTTCTATTACGTTTAGGCTTGGATGATTTACAACCTGCTTTGACGGAAGTTGTATCGAAGGCTTTAGCTTATCTCTTCTATAATGAAATTGATGAGGTCCTTAACTGCATGCTATTGTTAATAATACAGTTTTCATATTAAATAATAAACTTGCAGGCTTTATTAGATTACATTTATGATAATCCATACTGTTACTGGCAACCTACTCTGCAAGTTATATCCACAGAAGTGTCGGAAGAAACTGATTCAGTGGAAGATTTACAAAAACAAATGCAGCAGTTGCAAGTTAAGCAAGCGTATGGAGACAAGCACACAACTATAGATGCAAATATAGAGGAAACAGAGCAAGAGAGCAAAACATCTATGAGTGATTTTCATTTAGCTGAAGTGGATCTAGTAGATTGCTTACTGCGTTCGAACATCTTACAAAGAATTTAGTAAGAACAAAGAGCTTTTTATGTGAGAATATATTAAAACGCGCAAGAAACTTTGTATAAGAAAAATGACAGATGTTGAGCATAAATTTAATCAAAGATATAAAATGAAGGAAAAATTCATCCATTAAAGTTTTGATTAATAATTTTGTAAAATAGTTTACTCAATTAGAATTAGGTTTTTATTTAAATCCTAGTCTATAAAACAGATTATACAGATTTAATTTAACTTAAGTTTTTTGTTATATTTGTAGTTTTATCTTACAAAAGCAACGTCCAGAAAATAGTGCTGTAATATCCTGCCTGAAACTACTGATACGTTTAGCACGTACTGACAATGAAATCGCTATAAGAATAGTTAATAACGATAATTTGTTACGTTGTCTCTTTGATAACTTTTTACCTAGCTTGGAGAATGTTGGTATGATAATTCATATATTTATAATTGTTTTGTTAAAGTAAAGTAACTTAAATTTCAGATACCATGACAAGAATACCTACATATTATAATTATCCCCAGCATCTTGTGCTGAAACTGATACGTGTCTTAATATCTCAAAGTCTGCCAATTGCGATCAAATTTGTAAATTTAAATATTGTGGATAAGTTGCTAAATTATATATGCAGCTGTGATGATATCAGGGTATGTTGTATTTTGTTTTTTTTTTAACATTTAAAATTTGTTTAATTTAAAAAAAAGTATTGAACCATTTTCTTTTTGAACAATAATGGATGGTTCCAAAATCGCCACGAACTATGTTCAGTTGTCTTTTAAGGCGACAAAATGCTACTCACTCCTCTGAATACGGGCAAAAGATTCTAATCAACTTCTAAAAATTTTTTTAAATAGCCACTTCTTGGCTTTAAGTTAGATTGATAGAATTTATAGTTTAGCACAACGTTGTCGTTGTATTCCGTAGAAATGATTGAAATTGCAAAACAAATACGTGATAATTTGGCTTGTGGAGATGGATTTCAAATGGGGATGTGCTGAGAGTGTGAGTAGGTGTTAATAGAAACTAGCATAAGTCAAAGCAAAAGAGTTTGAGTACTTTAATGCGTCAAAGCCATAAATCAACAGTGCTTAAATCAGACATATACATTTAGACATTAAAACTCATAGCTGACAGAGCAATAGTGAGTAAATAGTGAACGGCATTTGTTTGTCGAAATTAACGAGAGAATTTGAGACGTGGACTCGGATGTTTTTCGAACCTAATTGCAGCTCCACCCCCAATGATGTCGCCAATCTGTCTGGATATCCTTATACGCACACAAACTAGAATCCAGTTAATTTATATAGCGGTTGAAAAATTGAGCGTCTATAATATATATTAAGTCTTTTTGATATTCATATTAGTATTTAACATTATATTGAGTTATTTGCTTTATTAAAATTAATTAATTTTTTTAGGGTGCTTTAGTTCATGTGCAAACAGAAAGCTTACGGGTTTTACGTTGCCTCTTGTTATTGAACGTGGATAATGGACAATTCTACAAGTAAGATAATTTATTAAGTTAATCATTTATTAAAAACTCAATGCATATTTAATATTTATTAGCAGTTATAGGTATAAATAGAATAATAGTACATTTATGTATACATCTATAAAAATAACATCTTTCCTTTCCTTTTTATATATACATTATTTAAACCTTTAAAGGTGTTTTTATTTAATAAAATGAATTACATTATTTAAACTAATAAACATTGTATTTCTGATAATTTAATACACATTTATTTTAGATGAATAAAAAGCCAAAAGCGCTATTTAAATTTGCTGCATCAACTTCAACATAACACTTCACAGTAAGATATGCGGTTTCGCAAGCATCAGCGCCATCTGTTTGTGAAATAAAGAAATAAAGATTATTATTATAAATAATCGCAAATATAAATTTAATTAGACCGATGATCTGGTTCTGATTATGACCAACATTATTGTTTGTAATGATAATAATAATTACAAAGGGAGGTCAAGGTTCACACTGGACTGTAGTACCAAATAAGAAAAATAATAATTATTACAAATAACAGTACCTGTAGATATAATTATATATATGAACTGATTCTGAATGGAACCGGTTTTGAATTCCTAATTTTGACTCTTTGATTTGACTATGAAAAGAACCATTGTCGCTTTGCAATAAAAAAGTTCTGAACTGAACCAATAGTTTAAAATTTTCTGAATTCATTTGAAAAAAGTATGAGAATCATACTTTATGTTATAATATAATTAAATATTTAATAAATTTTTTTTTTTTTAATAAAGAGGTTTTCGAACAGAAGTGAAACAACAACAAAAATTTATTTTTTAAATTATTTTTAATTAATTGAATTTTTGGCTGACCATACAGCTGTTTCGAGTATTGCCAAATACCCTTCATCAGTGGTCTTTATGATTTTAAAAATAAATTTGAATATGACAGTTAATAATAATTTAAGTTCCTTCCCTCATCATTTACAACCCTTCTTCTCATTTCTAAA